AGGGTTTAGGGATCAGGGTTTAGGCCTTAGGAGTTTAGGGTTTAGGGTTTAGGGATCAGGGTTTAGGGTTTCGGGGTGTAGGGCTTACCCTAACCCTCCAGGTACCCACTATATAAGGCTCTAGCGGCTCTAGTACCCTATATAGTAGTTACCTGGGGGGTCAGGCTTAAGTAAGGTTCAGGATTTCAAGGTTTAGGGTTTTGGGGTTAAAGATTTTAGGTTTTTGGGGGTTTTAGGTTTGCTTTTTTTGGAAAGGCTTAAGTAAGGTTCAGGATTTCAAGGTTCAGGGTATTGGGGGTTAAGGATTTTCAGAGTTTAGTTGTTTTTGGGGTTCAGGGTTTTTAGGGTTTAGGGTTTTGGGTTTAAGGATTTTAAGGGGCTTTAGGTTCCAACCCTAAACCCTAAACCGTTTAGGCTTGAAAGAGGAGTTAAAGGCTTGCCAGGGTTGCACAGAAGGCTTTGCGAAGCTTACAGGTTATCAGTCGTTGAGGCTGGAGTTTAACAGGGGGGGAGAGTGCAAGGTTTTGACTTGATGGACGTTGCTAGCATGAATTTAGCCTTCTTTGTGTTGACGGAAGTCAGGCTTCAGTGAGTACGGGAGGGCTATAGCCGCAGCAACAGAAAATGCTGCAAACTCCGGAAACCCTACATTTAGGGCGGAGGGTTTTAGGGTTTAGGGTTTGAGAGTTTTAGGGTTTAGGGTTTAGGGACAGTCTCACAAGATCTTTGAGCGAAGCCTCAACGATCTTCTGAGTGAGTATTCGCAAAGGAACCCTCTTCGAACATTCTTGGAACTCCATGGTGAAGCCCCTCATAAATATATCTCCTTATGGCCCAAACCATGGAATCTGCAACTCAAAACACCATGGTTGCCCCGTCTTGAAGGCCACCCGGCGCCAAGGCCCTGAACGGAGAGTTCTCGAATGGGTTCTAGAAAGATCTCCTTGTGGGCTTTTCTAAGTGAGCCCGTTTTTTTAGGAGTGTACTATGGGTAGCTCTCTAAATTAGGGTCCCTGTTGGGGGTCCCTTTTGATTAAGGGTGCCGTACTATCTTGCTCCCTGTTATCCTACTTACTACTACCATCATGAATACGATTTTTTCTAAAAGGTATCGAAGCCCTCTTCTTCTTCTTACCATAAGGATGATTGTTATTATCTGGGTACTGCCCCCATACAGCAACAGTCCAATAATAAGGCGACTATTAAAGGGCCTTATATATCCATATTATGAATATTGCTCACCTGTTACTTCGTGGGGGCAGTATCCAAATTTTAATATTGTTATTATTATTATTGTTATTATTATTGTTATTATTATTATTACTAGTACTATTACTATTCTTATTACTATTATTATTGTTATTACTATTATTCTTATTATTACTATTATTGCTATTATGATTCTTATTACTACTATTACTATTATTACTGGTATTAATACGTATGGAGGTTAAGGGCCTCGGTCTCCCTACTCTGCGATCTCTGAAGTACCGATCCAGTACCCAGAGGCCTAGGCTCCACTGTAGTTCTTTTTTTTGGGGGGCTGCCTTCGGGGTTTAGGGTCTAGGGTTTAGGGTAGTTCTTTTTTTCCGAAAGGTTCTTTAGTTCTTCTTTTGGGGGGTTGCTTTTGGGGTTTAGGGTTTAGGGTTTAAGGTAGTTCTTTTTTTCCGAAAGGTTCTTTAGTTCTTCTTTTGGGGGGTTGCCTTCGGGGTTTAGTGTTTCGGGTAGTTCTTTTTTTCCGAAAGGTTCTTTAGTTCTTCTTTTGGGGGGTTGCCTTCGGGGTTTAGGGTTTAGGGTAGTTCTTCTTTTGGGGGGTTGCCTTCTAGGATCCGAAAGGTTCTTTTGTTTTTTGTTGGGGGGGGGGGGGGTTCGGTATAGGTACTTTGGGGCCAATGTCTATACTATGTGACTACGCGAACCCTTGGGCTTTCTGGCCGATTTGCACGAAGTGTTGGGTCTTCCTTTGAAAGGCTTTTAGTGGACTGAGACACAGGTAGTAGCTGAGTAGGTAACCTTTAATCCTTTCTGGGGTTTTTAAGATTAATCCTACCATAGCTCAAAAGGTTAACCGTTTTGGGGCTCGGATACTGAGCCCTCAAGAAAACGAGTTGAGAGTACGAGATGCTCGAACAGCCCAGCCGTAGGACATGTCTCAAGTTAGTCAGGTTTTCGTGTAACCTCAGTCAGTCCACTCACTAGTAGCCTTCAAGAAAGATCGGTCTAGCAGCATTGTCTCTCATGCAGCTACACGACCAATGCAGGTGCCAGCCACCTCTTTCTAACGTATTCCAACACTTAAAGCCCCTGTTTTTAAAGCACTGTCTGCCATGCCGGCAAGACCTACGCCGGTCTCTGTGGGGGCTCCCGGAGAGACCTCAGCAGCTATGCCCGATGAGGCAGAGCAGCCGGTCTCCGCGATAAACGCGCCGGGAGAGTCGCAGGAAGTCTCTGATGCTGCACATGGCTCCAAGGATTCGCTGGAAGACCTCCGCAATCCGGTCCTGGACCAATATGTTGCACTCATGACCTACATGCAGGCCACAAGAGCAGAAATCGTGCGGGGGATTTGCGCATTTCGAGTCCTTCAAGGTGCTCCCCGGCTCTGGTGGAGGGGAAGACTACACCAACTTCATCGGCACAGCGAGATGGTGACACTGCTTGACGAGTTTTGGTCTCACAGCTGGCTTGTCCATCCTGCGACTAAGTATCTCAGTGTACTCTTTCTGAACAATGGCTTGCCGGCTTTCGTTGCGGGCGCGGCCTGTGCTTTTGTCACTTTCTCGCTGTATGCAGCAGGTCTTTTGCCCTGGAAACGAATGTGCACTCCAAGTGGTGCTGTTGGCTACTACCTGACCCTTCTACTTTGGCGGTGCAAGAAGCGTGTATTTCTGGACGTTGCCTGCGTAAATCAGCACGACCCGCAACTGAAAATGGAAGCCCTTGTCAGCATCGGCGCGTTCTTGAAGAGATCTCGTTCTTTGCTGGTTCTTTGGGATGCCACTTTCGTTTCAAGGCTTCTTGGTCGATCTTAGGTTTTTTCTTACTTTTTTGTTGGTTGGGCCTCTAACCCTAAACCTTAAACTCCGAAGCTACCCCTAAACTCAATTTTGACAGGATCTTATGTCTCCTTCCTAAGAGGGTACCAAGGCTTTGGTGCATGTTTGAGATGGCCGCGTTCCTGCACAGTCATGGGCTTGAGACCCGAGGCAAAAGCCTGGTGATTTGTCCAGTTTTTGTAGGTCCAGTTTTCGTGATCGGGAATTTGGGCCTTTGTGTGCTGTGTATGATTTTCAACTTCTGGCCACTGCCCTTGTTTCCGTCTGGCGGGCTGCTCATCGCTACACTCACATTTCCGTGTTTAACACTGGTCTCCTACATTGTCCTCCTTCACTGTCGCAACATCGAGACGATGCAGAAACAGGTTCGCCATTTCACGGTTCAGGATTCCTCGAGCCATTGCTGTGCCAGCGGCCACTATGACAAAAGGACAGGTGAGCACTTGATCTGCGACCGCAGCATCATTCTTCGGTGCGTCTCTGCTTGGTTCGGATCCACTGAGCAGTTCGAGTCCCTCGTGCGCCTTAGCAGCCGAACGAGTATACTTTGCACTTTTTGGGAGAACTGCTAACCCCCTACAGACTATAAAACTGAAAAAAAATTGGGCTTGCAAATTCAGCAACTAACTAAACCCTAAAACCCAAACAAGGCCAAACCCTAAACCCTAAACCCTAAAGGGAAAACAAGGCGCGGCAAGCTCCTGGAGGTACTGGTGGATCAACTGGCCAACGGCACCTTCACATATTGGCGTCTCGTGCAGGTCAACAGTCCGGTCCTATGGGTTTGTTTCTTGGATGGGTTTAGGGTTTTGTAGTTTAGGGTTTACGGTTTAGGGGTTTAGGGGTTCAGGGTTTAGGGCCAGTGTTTAGAAGGTTTAGGATTTAGGGTCTTAGGGGATGGCAAAAATGCGAGAACTTTAACCTTTTTCGGCCTTGTCTATCCTAGAAAGCTTGGAACCTTTTTGTGGGCCCCCTAAACCCTAAATCCTAAACCCTAATAAACCCTCAAAAAATCCTAAACCCTAAACTCTAAACCCCAACCCCGGTTCTTGGGAGAAGAGGTTTAGACATCCTCCAAGAGTTCCTTGACAATGGGCTGAACATGTTTCTCACTCTCATACTGTATTGGCTGATGGTGTTGCCGAACATGGCGCTGATTATGCTCCGGCTGACCTACATGGTCCGGCTTTGGTGTGAGAGCACCTTCGCGCGGGTGCTGCTCGCCGTTGGTCTCGTAGCCGTCGGGACAGTCTTGTTTGGACTCTGCTATGCGACGCAAGTCTGGCTTCTTCCTGGCTTTCTGACATACCTGCAATCGAACCTGATTCTGGTGATTTTTGGTGGCCTTGTCACCCTGCTCCTATGGTGCTGTGTTCCAGCAATCCGAAGTCCTTTTCCTGACTCTACAATCATCTGAGCCCGACAAAATGTGGCGCCTGCATGTCAGCAGCATCTAAGCCTGCTGCAAGGATATGAGCAGGAACAGTTCATGTGGAAGCCCCCAATAATTACCCATAGTAATCCTTCGGGGTTCCTGATTATGTCATATCTGAAATCTGACGTACCCCAACACTCTATTCAGATATTTGGCCTCTGCATTATTGGCCGCCTGTGCCCGAGGAATCTGCAGAGAAGCTCTTCTCCCAAGTGCTGAAGCTGCTTGGCTGCGTAATACCCACAGGCCCCTAAGTAGTTCCTTATATTTAGCATCCTATAGGGAAATCCCAAAAGGGAACTACTTAGGGGACCCTCTCCTAGGGTTTAGGGATGAGGGTTTAGGGTTTTTCCTGAGGGCTGCCTTTAGGATCGCTGATTCTTCCGTCTAAAGCCCGTGCAGAACGCCATTGAAAAACCATGCTACAATGGCTGAGGAAAAGATTTTCTTTATCATGGAACCCTCATGCATATGTATATGTGTATGTTTATACTGCATACGCAAAGATGTATACACGTACGCATACGCACTCACACATTTATGTACAGATCTATCTATCCATCTATGCATTTGTCTATCTATCTATCTATCTATATCTGGCACTGATATCAAGGCGATGCTCGGGTTGCTTGACCTGGGGGAGTGCCATGTACCACTGTTCGGTTTGAGGAACCGCTGACTATGGGCAAAACTACGGGTTCATGTTTCCGTTGTTTTTATGGTTAGTCCCTAAACCCTAAACCCCATCACAGTGTGTAATACTATTGAGGAGGCACACCCAAAAGTATTTTGTTTTTCCCTCCTGGTGAGGATCCTCAGAAAGCCTCTAGGCTTTCTTTTGGATACAGGTTCCTGGGTTTTGGCCCTTTGCTCTGAGAGACTGCACAGGAAGTTCTTTGATTCATGGCCACAACTGCGTGCACGTAACTAGTAATTCTTACTTACCCCTTAAACCCTAAGCCCTAAACCCTAAACCCTAAGCCCTAAGCCCTACCCAAATCCCGGATTACCCAAACCAGGAACCTCTGCTCGGTGGTCAGGGTTTTGGGGGTTTCAGGTTTGGGGCTTCCTCAAAGCAAGGTGGTGCCTCTTCGAACCATTTAAAATAGGAGCCTAAGTGATTACAAGCGTTATTCCTTAGGGTTCCTGCCGTACTTAATTCCACGATATAGGATTCCAAACGATATTCTAACTGTTAAGGCCCCTACAGTAGGTACCATCGGTTTCAAGCCCTTGACGCACGGAAGGATCCTGGTGTTCAGGGTTCTGTCTCTTACTGTGGGCTGCGGGTCGAGGGTTTTGAATTGAAGATGCTTCGCTGAAGTTCCAGGGGGCCGGCAGCTGGATTATATTGCTGGTTTAGGGTTGACCTCAACAGCCGCTCCCTAAACAAGGAAGGTCTTTAGGTTATTTTGGTGTTCTTGAATTTTTTGGATTTAGGGCTGCGCCCGGGCCTGGGCCTTGCCAGCACCTTGTAGAACCTGCTTGTTTAGGGTCAAGCCCGTGCTTATATTCTTCAGGCAGCTCGAGAACCCGAAGGCAACCCCACACTCTTTTTACACCTTGTCCAAAGGCCCATCAATGCGGTCGTCTATGGCTTCGATGGCATCCAGTTCCTCTGAGTCAATTCCTGAGGGCTGTTTGGGATTCAGAATTCGGCTTGAAGATTTAGGACTGTATATTGCGGGTGTAATATCATTCATGAGCGACAGAGAGCCCAAGATTCGGATCTTGGGTTTAGGATAGAGGCTTTTTCGACCAGGTTCCAGTTTAGGGCGTAGTGGTTTTACAAGCACAGAAGAGATAGCTGATTCTTTGTGCAGAGTAGGCTTAGAGTGTGTGTGTGTGTGTGTGTTTAATTAGGCTGTCGGCTCTGGGTTCTCTCGGGAGTGTAGTTATTTGGGGCCTCGGACACTTCAGTGTATTGCAGGGGGTCGGATCTTCAGTCTATAGAGTTTTGCTTACAGTTCGTTCCGGTACCAAAGAGACCGTACTTTGGACAAGCACCCATAGAGAGATACAGTGTCGATGGGTTATTCGTGGAGACGACCCTGAAGGTCCTTGTACCTCTAATCAGGTTGGCATGTGCTGTGTACACTACCTTGCTAGTAGCGCAGCTATCCTTTATCCGTTTTCCCGTACTAGAATCCCTGTACATATTTAGCTTTTGTAGGATACTGGACAAGTAGGCTACAGGTGTATGGACCCCTAGGGTAGTGTTTGACGTCTCGAAGTGTGCCAGGTTCCATAGATACGGTCGGTGTGAGGCCCTGCCTTGCGCCACTCCCGAGAAGAGAGCCATGACAGGAACTGGAGTCCTGATCCATAATCTCACACCACGGTGCGTACAATGCTTGGTAAGAGACACAAGTGTCAACATGTTGTTGAGCAAGCATCCTTCGACGCAGGGCTCCCTGGATCAAAAATCCTCAAAACATAGGGCCTCCAAGGCTCGTCGGGCTCATACGGTTCAGGGTTTATGTTCCAGCATCGTTTGTTTCGAAGCTCCCAAGCGACCCGCAGCCTAGAGCAAACCCCCCACCCCGCCCCAAAATTCGCACGAGCCGAAGCGAAACCCCAAACTAACTCTGGCATTCATGCCAATTGCACGTTGCGCCTGGTGTCGGTTCTAGTCCGTGTAGTGCAATATACCCTCCCCCCCCCCCAAAACAATGTAAATAAATAAATAAATAAACTGTCCAAACTCTAGCAGATCCCATATGCCTGTGCCTTGGAGTTCATGCCCGAAGTCTTGGAAGGAATACGCTGATCGGCGGAGGTTCTGGTGCATTGAAGGGACACTTGGCGAATTTGGTGCGCCGCTGACTTCAAGCTAGCTAACGAAACTGCCCAAGATGCTATTCTTACCACTGAGGCCCCTATTACCCTAAACCCTAAAACCTACACCCCCTAAACCCCCCAAACCCTAAACCGCTAAACCCTAAAAGCACAGACCTTCGTTCTCCTGCCAGCCTTGTGCTAGTCTGTGAGTCGAAACCCTAAAAGCTATACCTAGCCATTATTGTAGCCACCGAGCTACGAGGACCGGATCCTGAAGTTCTGCGTCGGGCGATCCGCGGCGAGTGCCACTTCAACAGTATCAAAGAGTCTCGGATTTTGGGTTTAGGGTGTTGGGGTGTTGCATGTGTTTTTCTTTTTCTTTGTTTTGTTTTCAAAATGTCCGTATGGCGTCCTACAAACCACTAGCGTCACCAGAACGTAATGTCTATTCCACAGCTTATTTGGGAGCTTTATACATACAGCATTATAGTCAACGGTATCCCCGAAACTGGGATTGTGCGCTGATTTCGGGGGTATGACGTAATTAGAAGAGTCACTGTGTGGATTGGTGTAATCATCAGGCCACAGGCTTGAAGAAATGTCTCTCATCCCCAGCATGAAGGCGCAACCGGACCTCTACCACAATCCTAAACTGCTAAACATTAAAATTAAAACCCATTAAGGACCTTATATAGAAGTCCGATTCACTCTAGTATTCGTTACTGTAGTTACATTTTTTCCTGTATACCCCCAAAGCCCCTCTCTGATATTATATTCTATTGCCCCTAAGACTTAAGCCCCTGGCCCTTTGAGGGACGACTGAAGAAACGATTGAGGCCCCAATATGACCCTGGGGCTCCAAATAGCCCAAAGTAGATACTATTTACAGACTTTAGACCCCAAAGTAAGTAGGTACTATTTGTATACTTGGAGCCCTAGGGTGACCATCGCTCGGCCCAGGATATCCACACCTCCAAAGATTCGGGCTTCCAACTGCAACTCGAGGATCGCGAAGGCAGAGATGCTTGGTTCGCGGTGTAGGTTGTACTTGGAGGTTCATGGGTAGTTATAAGTGGGGTTATAAGCCCCCTAAAAAAGGTTATAACAGTTACCCCACTTATAACCCCACTTATAACTACCCATGAACCTCCAAGTAGAGTTTGGGGTAGCAAAAAGGTTGCAGGGTTCAGGGTGGTTCAGGGTTTAGGGCTCAGGAAACCCGCCAAGAAGCAGTTCCCGACGATGACTTTCTGTACTCATACTACCACGATCATGGCCACCACAACCACTGCCCCCCCAGCACCGCACATGACAGAGCATCCGCTCAGCCAGGCAAAACTTGGGTGCTGCCAATGCGCGCCGCCGGCTTCTCTGTGCAGGTCAACTGGGTTGTAAGCCTGCGGGGAGTATACGGAACCCCAACACAGACCGTAAACGTAGGGCCCTTAGTATCTGAGTTCCCTACGCAACTGCCAAAGCTGAACAAAATCCTCAAAACCGCCGAAAACATTCAAAGCCTCCACCAGGAATCCCCAATAAGCCTGATCCCTCAATCCCTAAGCAACGCCCTATAAACCCGCTGATGCACAACAGCCCAGATCCTCAAATCCTACAACCCTCACCCCCAAGCCTCGAAATCGTGGAATCCTTGGGCGCCTAAACCTTGTCTTATGTTGTATTATATCCCTGGGGCTCCAAATAGCCCAAAATAAGTACTATTTACAGACTTTGGACCCCCAAAGTCGGTACTATTTGTATACTTGGAGCCCTAAAGGGTATGTATATATCAAAAAGCCTCGAACCTATAACACAACAGTACATCTAATACACTTATTGTGTTTTATTTATGTAATATGTACTACTGTGTTTATGAAATTCGAGGCTTTCCCTAACCTCCCAGGTACCTACTATATAGGGCCCTATAGGGGGTCTAGTGCCCTCTATAGTAGGTACCTGGGGGGTTAGGGTTTTTTTGCGGATCCTAAACCCTAAACCCTAAAACCCTAAACCCTAAACCCCTAAACCCTTGGGTTTCGAAGCAAAAAATCCTCGCGGCGGGAGGCCTGGGAAGCGTTGATCCAGGGACTCGAGGCTGCTGTGAAAAATCCACAAGGCGGGAGTGGGGGTTGAGGGCTTGAGGGTTTAGGGCTTTAGGGCTTAGGGCTTTAGGGGCTTAGGGCTTTAGGGCTTTAGGGCTTTAG